AAGTTTGTAAAAGGGAGGAGTAATGAGCAATGTAACCTTTGGCTCAAACCACTACATACGTGCTGCGCTGCCGCCGCCGTCTGCCTGATCGGCAGAGCCGAGCGCGGGTGTGGGTCAGGTTGATTCTAACATTAATTTTTTAGACAAAATTTATTTAAATTTTTTCAAATTTTTGCGAGAAAAATTATTTGAATTTCTTAACGAAATTAATTTAAATTTGCGCCAATTTTTTTTGTCCAAACAAAGCCCTTCTCCGGTCCAATTTCTAACAAGTTCAGTTCAAGTTTCGGACAGTTTCAATCTGTGCCCAGACAGATTCAAATATGTTTCACACTTGTTCAAATTTGAATTGTATCTGTCTAGTTTGAATTTGCACCTGTTCAGTTCAAAATCATATCTGTTCGGCTCTACAAATATCAGATCTGTTCCAACAATTGTTTCATTCTGAAAATCATTTTTCCTTGCCTTCCTTTATGCTCTCTTGCATATATATTCTACATATTATTTTAGGAAAAATTCTGAGATTATAGAACACAGGTTTTGTTCGACGTACAGATTGTTTGAAGTGCTACTACAATCTGTGTAAAGATCATTGTATCTTGGGAGATAGACGCTATTGATCCATAAGCACTGAAGCGGGACGAATCTGTCTTAAGGACATAGTGTCACACACTCGACTTGATCATTTGTGTACTTATTCACATCGGTAAATAAACTCTGTAAGGAATTTATTTTTATTTGTTTGATTGTGTTTCAAGTTATTTATTTTACACAAAAGATTGTTCCAACAAGACCTCCATTGAACCTCCATTGAAGACTATTGTAAATCCTTCAAAATAGTGTTGAAGGTAAGAAATCTTTCAATTTTCTTATTACATTTATCATTTTGTTATTACATTTATCATTTTCAGATCTATGTGCACTCCATTGGCATAAAACCTTCGATTTTGGTCTTGTGAGTGATGGTTTGGGGCTTTCGGCACTGGGTTTCCGAACAATAGAATGAATTCGGAACACAACTTCCGAATAAATTGTATTATTTTAACAAATTACTTTTGAAAAAAAAATAAAATCTTGATTATTAGTTTTCGAAGTTGATGAATTTTTTCGGTTCTATAGTTTCAAAATGATGCCATGTTTTCGACAATTTAGTTCCAAAAATTGTGTGTTGTTTTAGCAATAAAGTCCCGAATGGATTTTTTTTTTCCCCATTTATTTAATGAAGAAAATCAACACTGGTGGTCCGACTGAAAACCGCAAAAATAAAATAAAAAAAAAATACTATACCAAAAAATTAACCTTTTCATCACTAATTTTGTTGTCACCAGACATATTTTTGTTTGATTTTGAACTTCCATTGGTTTGCAATTCTTCCATATCAAAATCAAGCAAAAATTGTGAAACTAATAAGAAAACGATATGAATAATAGAGTATAAATCTAGAGATTAAAACAATATGATAGAGGCACCGTTTGGGAAGAAGGTTTGTAGACTTTTTTGGCTATTTTAGCCACAAAAAACAAAATAGGCTATTTTAGCCACAACCAACAAAACATCACATCCAACCCATAATCATTATACTTTTCTCTCAAAAAAAAGGTCAAAAAAGCCAAAAAGCCCTTCCCAAACCAAGCTTTTTAGCCCAGACTAAAATAACCAAAAAAGTCAAAAAGCCAACCCACTTTCCAAACCAACCCTGATAGTATTGTTTTGTAAGCAATAAAAAAGTATAGAGTGTGCAACAAGCAAAGTGACAACAATGGAAAAACTAGGGTATAATTTTTTTAATTCAAAAGGTGTACATTGAGATTTTCTTATTCTTAAAAGATGTGTACAAAGAATTTTTTTCATATAATATTATGGGTGTTGCTAGATGTCTATTATAGTCATTTTTATTTAGGATATAATTGTCATTAAATTCATATTCCATGGGTAATTCTATTTTCACACACCATTTACACGTTGTGCACATCATTTCTTAATTCACACACTTATTAATTTAGTTACATTATGTTTTTCTCATTCCATACATCAAATGTTCTAAATATATCCATAGCTCATAAAACACACACCACACAAAACACATTTACACACATCATAACAGTAACTTCAATATATCCACCAACACATTTTCAACAATTCTTTAGAGCCAATCAGCGATGATAGTAAGTTTTCATCGTGATTAAAAAAATCTTAAAACAAATTATATGAAAAGTTTTCATCATTATTTTTTTTTGCAATTCTATGGAAGTTGAATTTACAAAATAATAGCAGTTCTTTTGCTCACAAAAAAAAAAAAAAAAAAAATTCACTTCCACAGATAAAAGATCACCTTTTCATCGTTGCATTGGTTGTAAAGTCATATTCTTCTCTAAATTTAAACTTCTATGATTTTGTATATCTTCCATCACACAAATCAAAAATGACGGGAGCAAAATAGAGTGCAACAATGGTGAGAACGAAAAACAATAGAAGAATAATGTGGGCCTTAGTGTGAATTTTTTTTTTCTAAAAGATGTGCACTGAGAATTTTCGTTCCCAAAGATGTGTACAAAGAAAATTTAGTTTTAAGATTTGTTGTGTATTGATGTCTATAGTGGTCATTTTGTTTAATAGTAAAATTGTAATAAAAATTTGGGCAAATTACATATACCCCCTCGAGGTTTAGCTAAATTACAGATACCCCTTGAAGGTTATATTTGCATAACAAGTTATGGGGCAATTTGTTACGAAAATATAAACCTCAGGGGGCAATTTGTTATGAAAATATAAACCTCAGGAGGGTATTTGTAATTTCTCAAACCTCAGGGGTATCTGTAATTTAGCTAAACCTCAAAGGAGGTATATTTAATTTGTCCTAAAAATTTAATCATAAATGTGTGCACAGAGAGTAAATAATATGTGGAAATAGAATTATCTATAATTTATTAAATATGTGTCCTGAGCTAATTAGATGTGTAGAAATAAAATTTCCCAAAGAGTAGCGGCAATTGTGAAAGTGGTGGTGCATAAAGATAGGGAGATAAAGTGTGGAAGCGTGACGGGGGTACCTTGCTTGTTTCTACTTTTCAAAAAATAATTTTCAGAAAATTCTACTTTCTTATTTTTCGTGTTTTTTTTTTTGTTTTTACTGATTTTTTTTAATATTTTAAGCAATTTTCTTACTTTTTAGACACACCTAGCATAAATACACCTAAAAAGTAAAAAAATTGTCAAAAAAATCTTTTAAAAATTCACTAAATACCAAAAATACAAAAAAATACAAGAATTCAGTACATTTTTTGTATTTATTAATTTTTTAAAATATTTTTTCTCAATTTTTTTACTTTTTAAATACATCTAAGTAAGGTGCATCTAAAAAAGTAAAAAAAAATATTTAACATTCAAAAAATATTCATTAAAAACAAAAAGACACGAAAATAAAAAAAAATCAATTTTTAAAAAATTTAATCTAGAAAACTCAAACCAAACACTGTTTGGTAATACTTACGTTTTCAATTTTCTGTTTATATTTACAAAAATTTAAAAAACTCAAATAAAAACTTGTTTGGTAAAATTTTTGATTTATAAATCAGTGGTCTCAGTTTATAAATTTGGACAAAAAATAAAAAAATACAAAAATATATTTCCATTTTGAGTTTTCAGTTTTTTTTTTTTTTTTTTTTTTTTTTACCACCCAACACTAGCCACCACCGCCACCATTTTCCACCATCGTCTTCCGCCACCACCACCCGCCACCATTTCCACCACCACCCATACCCCACCACCACCTGCCACCACCACTCACCACCCACCTGCCACCCCACCCGCTACTATCAACTCACTTGCCACCCACTCGCCACCTTCACCCACCCCTGCCACTACCACCAACCAACACCCACAACCACCACCACCACCCACCACCACCTGCCATCCACCACCCACCACCCGCCACTACCATCCACTGCCTGCCGCCACCGACCCACACCCACTACCTACTTGCCATCACCACTCACCACCCCACCTGTCACCACCATCCACTACTTGCCACTACCAACCACCTGTCACCACCCCTACCCGCCACCACCACACCACCACCCGCCACCCACCACCATCACCCCACCCGCCACCTACCTACCACCACTACTCACACCACCCACTCGCTACCACTACCACCCCGCCACTGTCACCCACCCACCCACTCACCCACCACCAACCACCACCCTGCCACCTACCGCCACCACCTATTTGCTATCACCACCCGCCGTCGCCACCACCACCACTACACCTACTCGCTACCACCACCCACTGCCATCGTCACCCACCCAACCACCATCACCACCCACCCGCCCCACCACCACCCTGTCATCCGCCATCTACCTGCACACCACCCACCACCCGCCACGCCGCCACACCACACCCACCACCGTCACCACCACCCACCCATACCACCACCTGCCACCTACCCGCCACCCCGAGCCACCACCTGCCATCTGCCACTCACCTGCCACCACTACTCCGCCAATCGCCACTACCATCACCCACTCGCTACCATCCACTACTCGCCACCGCTACCGCCACCGTCACCCACCCACTTGCCACCGTCACCCACCACCAGCTACCCACCAACCACTGTCACCACTTTTCACCACCGTCTTTCACCGCCACTTCCCACCACTTGTCATTTTTCATTTTTTTTTATATTTTTAAATTTTTTTAAACATTTTGTCAATTACCAAACGTGTTTGTAGTTTATGTTTTTCTAAAAATAAACAAAAAATAAACAAAAATTAGTTTATAATATTTTTGTAAATATAAACTGAAAACGTAAACGTTACCAAACATTGTCATTGTAATTTTGTTATTTCATGACTCTCGCTGACGGACGGAGTTAAATTTTGAGGACATCAGTGGAAGCGGGTGTTATATTTTGTCAAAGTAATCGGCCAACTGCAATTTAAGCAAATTGTTAGAGGAGGTAAATGTAATTTGCTTAAATTTTAGCCAGAGTCAACATTTTGGATGCCATTGATTGAAACACAAAACTTGAGAGATAGAGCAGAGCACCGAAATGGGGCTATGGAAGCAGTAAACAATTGAGTGTTTGCTGATCAAAAAAATGTTTGAGTATGTGAGAAAGGAAGCCAGAGAAAGAGAAAGAGAAAGAGAAAGAAAGATTAAGAGATGGAAATACAGAGAGAGATTCGAGAGGGAGATGAGTGAAAATTATTGTGTCTTGGAGAAACTGAATCATCTAATGATCAGTAAGGCGTGCAATTTGACCGCAGATCAGATTGATCATCTCGACTCTTTTTATCACCGGCTAAGATTCCTAGCAATCGTTCTCAAGGATATGGACGAGAAGCAGCAGCAGCATGAGATGAACTATGAAGCTAAAAGCCTGTCGATGCAAATTTATTATGTGATCTGCAAGACAAGACAACTCGTCCGTTCTTTTGATGTTGAAGTTTCAGGGCAGAGGGACAGTTTTTTTGATATTTTTTTTGGCATAAATATCATGGAAGAGATTGAGACGATCGAGGCAAAAGTGGTGCAGTTTTATGACCAGATATATCAGATCCAACTCCTACAAGATGAGAAGTCCTTCAATGATGGAGTCCAATCGTCAATGTCAACGGAGAACAGAACCACGGTAGAGGAAGAAATTATGGTGGGCTTTGATGATGAGGCGTTGACTATAGAAGAGCGACTTATTGCTGGAGGAGGGAAGAGGCAGCTACAAATGATAAAAGAGCGACTTATTGCTGGAGGGAAGAGGCAACTACAAATGATAAAAGAGCGACTTATTGCTGGAGGGAACAAGCTGCTACAAATGATAAATTCGTCAACGTCAATGCCAATGCCAATGTCAATGTCAATGGGGAACAGAACCATGGTAGATGAAGAAATTACAGTGGGCTTTGAGGATGATGCGTTGGCTATAAAAGAGCTACTTGCTGGAGAGAACCAGCAGCTACAAATGATATCAATTGTTGGGATGCCTGGACTTGGTAAGACTACTTTAGCCAGAAAATTGTACAATGATCCTTACATCACATACTACTTTCATATTCGTGCATGGACCTATGCTTCTCAATTACCCACAAAAAGAGATATGTTGTTGGACATTTTACGTTCTTTTAATGTCGTCTTTACCGATGAAATTATAAACATGACCAATGAGAAGCTAGGTGAAAAGTTGTACAAGCAATTAAAAGGCAACAAATATCTCATTGTCATTGATGATTTATGGGATATTGGTGCCTGGGTCGATCTTAAAATGTATTTCCCCAATGACAACAATGGAAGTAGAGTTATGTTCACTAGTCGCCTCAAAGAGTTGGCTATGCATGCCTCACCTGATTGCCATCCTCATTGTCTGCGTTTTCTCACTGAAGAAGAGAGTTGGGAGTTGTTACAACAGAAGGTGTTTCAAAATGAAAGTTGCCCTCCAGAACTGATTATAATTGGGAAGGAAATAATGAAAAAATGTGCAGGGCTTCCACTTGCAATTGTTGTAATAGCAGGACTTCTTGCAAGGAACATCAAGACACAAGAGTCATGGAAACAAGTTGCCCAAAGTGTAAGCTCATACATTGTCAGTGATCCAAACCAGTACTTGGACACACTAGCACTGAGTTACAATCACTTGCCTCACCACTTGAAACCATGCTTTCTCTATTTAGGAGCATTTCCAGAAGATCAAGAAATCTCGGTGCAGAAATTAATTTGGTTATGGATAGCTGAGGGGTTCATACAAAAAATTGAGCAGAAAAGCTTGGAGGAAGTAGCAGAGGGTTACTTAATGGATCTAATTCAGAGAAGTCTGGTAATTGTTGCTCAAAACAGGTTTGATGGTCGAATTAAAACATGTCGCATGCATGATTTGTTGCGTGATTTATGCTTGAAGAAAGCCAGAGAAATTAATTTCCTAAAGTGGATTCACAATTATGATGATGCTTATCCTCCTCCGCCAAGTAATTACAAAGCAAATAACCAATGTCGCCTGTGTTTCGGTTTTGACTTCTTGGAAAAATGTGATCATGTTCTCTTAGAGTCTTATTCCCCATTAGTTGTTCAATCATTATTGTGCTTCAGAAATAAGTCTGGGATAGAAATTAGGTACGGCGACAGTGGGTTTGGTGATGTGTTCTCGTTTATTTGTTGCAACTTCAAACTTCTTAGAGTGTTGGACGTATGGTACATCAACGCCTTCTTTTCAAGAGAATTAACACAACTAGTTAATTTGAGGTATTTGGCAATTAATTTGCTAGGTCGCCATGAATTATCGCCATCAATATCCAATCTCTCAAACCTAGAAACACTTATTATTATTTGTACACAACGGAGGGAGGTTATTCTGCCATGTAATGTTTGGAATATTGCAAAATTGAGGAATTTTTATGCTAAAGGACGAGCAACATATGCTGCATCTTTATGTTCTGAAGAAGTAGTAACAGATCACAACCATCCCTATATATTAGAAAACCTACGAACCATCGCAAACTTAGACCATTATGGATCTATTCAGGATTTATTGGCAAGAACTCCTTATCTTACAAAGTTGGGAATTTGTGGACAACTGATTTCAGGTTCGGGGAATTCAATGTTTCCTAATCTAGAATTTTTAGGACACCTTGAGACTTTGAAGCTACAAAACAATTATTTAACCAGTAACCCAACTACTCTCGGAGAGGTCAAGTTCCCCGCAAATATTAGAAGGCTAACCTTGAAAAATACAGGGATAGAGTGGGAGGAGATATCAGTCCTTGGGATGATGTTACCCAACCTTGAGCTTCTCAAATTAGAAAATGATGCTGCCCGGGGACAGCAATGGGCAACAACTGATGGTGGGTTTCCTCGACTCAAATTCTTGAAACTGAGGAGCCTCAATGTTGAGCGATGGATCACCTGCTCTGATCACTTTCCAAGCCTTCAACACTTATCGTTGGGATGCTGTCATTTTCTCGAGGAAATACCATCTAGTTTGGGGGAGATACTCACTCTGCAGCTGATGGAGGTAAACAGTTGTCGCACTGTTGAGGAATCTGTCAGGAAAATTAAGGAAGAGCAAGAGAGCATTGGAAATAATTGGTTGAAAGTGCTGATTAGGGAACGGTGGACCTGTGCGTACAACTTCTAAAGGTATGTTCTATTTTATATTTATGTTTAATTTTTTATTTTCTCATTTTAGATTCGACCCTACATAAAGTAATCTATCTCGTGTATGTATAAATTAACCTAAAACTCTATGCATGTTCTTAAACAAATAATTAAAATTTTATCTTAAAAATTAAAGTAATAATTTTAAAATTTAAAAGGAAAAAATAGTAAAAATTATGTGAATGAATTGTTTTCATTTAAATTGCACTAAAGTGGTGTTTTAATTGTGTTGTTATTAATATTTTATTTTAAATATTAACTAATAGATATATATGTGTGTGTGTGTGTGTGTGTCATTACGTGGGTTAGTAATATTTTAGAGCAAAAACATTGAATGAATTATAAAAATTACATTTAGCATACAAGATAAATAATATGTACTTTTATATTAGATTTTCTCAAATGACATAACAACGAAAATTTTTAATTTACAATTACATAATAAAATTCATTTAAAATTTGTTAAAATCGAAAATAAATTGGAGAATAAAATAATTTTTTTATTTTATAGAAAGAGTAAGCATTAACCCCTTTTCCCAAATCATTTTGAAACCCAAAATACATTCCAAAACATGTGCATTCAACTTCATACCAATTCCATATCTTCATCAATCATGCATGCAAGTCAATTCTTGACTTCAATTCTATTCCAAATGGTACTAATGACAC